GGGAGAGGGAGAAGCAGGCTTCCCACTGAGCAGGGAGCCCGATGCGGGGCTCAATCCCAGGACCCCGGGACCATGACCCGAGCCGAAGGCAGACGCTCAACGACTGAGCCACCCAGGTGCCCCAACACATGGCCATTTTTTAAAGAGGAGCCTGATATTCTGTAACACAAACATATGACAGCGTGCTGAAGCATCTCCTTCCTGATGGGACAGTTAGCGCTTCCCAGGTTCTGACTCCCAGAGCCACACTGTGGCTCACATCCATGCTCACATGTCAAACCGTCCTGAGAGTCCCATTTACTCCAAGTGCCACCAAGTCTCACAGGGACTGTTTCCTTCAGTCTCGCTGCTCCAGGCTGAAATCGGGTGAGGTGACCTTGGGGATAATACAGAGAAGGAAAATCGTGCAAACGTCCTAGGGCCTATAAAAACCCCTTTAAAAATCAAAACTGACTTCTAATTATGTACTTTTCTCCAGCAATTGAGTTTTTAATATAAAGATATGTTATTTTTATAATTTTTTAAAGTAGAAGTTTAAATTCCTCTTAGCAGAGTGCTATAAATACATTTATGTGTTTAAGAAAATGGGAGCTTAAGAAAGAACAGTAATATTTAGCCAAAAATTCGGTTTTGTATCCCTGAAATCTATTGGGGGTGGAAATTAAACCAAATGAGCCCTTACCATGAGTCTGTGGAAGAGAAATAGCACCTAGCCTGCTTCCTCCACACAAGGAGATGTCCATCGTGTGACTCGAGGAAAAGGCAGAGGTCTGGGAAAATAATTCCCAAATCATGTCATGCCAACATCTCCATCTAGAACAGTGAACTCCTTTTTCCTATCGAGCACCATTGTTCAGGGACGCTTCCGTTACCTGAAACCAGGAAAAATTCTCCTCACTCTCAAAGAAAGTACAGAAACATTCCTAAGAATTGGGAGCAATAACACAGCCTCCCGACTGAAGATGTTCTTTGTTCTGGTAATCTGATGACAAACAGGGCTGCTGAGGAGCAGAAACAGGATGGACGGGTCAAAGTTTGCTGCTGCTTTGCGCACACTCTCCTCTACCTTTGAATTAGGAATGCTCTCTAGAACCAGAAATGCTTACCACGACGAGACAAAGTCTGTACCAGTCCCGTAATCCTTACTGTCCGCATGGGAGGACGAAACTGCCCAGGGACAAGAGCACTAGGGTGCGTGTGGGTGGCAGAACAACGGCCCCAAAGATGTCCACATCCTAATCCCTGGAACGAGTGGATCTGCTCAATTACGTGGCAAAGAGGAACTGATGCAGATGGAACGAAAGTGGCTAATCAGCTGCCCCGGAGGTGGGGAGATTTCCTGGGTCATCTGGCGGGTCCCATGGAATCACCAGTGTCTCATATGGAGGAGGAGGAGGCAGGAGACTCAGTGTCAGAGTGATGAGACATGAGACAGGGTTTAGCGGTAACTGCCGGCTTTGAAGATGGGAGGAAGGGGTCAGGAGCCACGGGATGCAGGCAGCCTCCAGAAGGTGAAAAGGGCAAGGAAAGAATCTCTCCAGGAGCCTCCAGAGGGATCAAGCCCTGCTGACACCTTGGTTTTAGCCTAGTGAGACCCATTCCAGACTTGTGACCCCTGGAACAACAACATAATAAATTTGTATTGCTTAAAGCCAATAAATTTGTGATCATTTGAACAGTAGCCACAGGAAGAGAATACAGTGCAGCTACTCCTTCCGTCTCTCTTTGGTACTGAGGGCGTATGTTAAGTCAGAGCCGCTTCCTACCATTTCCTTTCCTGATTTGTTAATCATAAAAAAAAAAAAATCAACAACCTATGTCTCATCCTTACCAGACATTTGTCAAACACCTTAACACTTCCCAGAAGAAAGTGAGCTCACACCACAAATCACCTCACTGTGGAATACATCAGCCCCTCTTTTTTTTTTTTTTTAAAGATTCCACCTATTTATTTGACACAGAGAGAGACACAGCGATAAGGGAACACAAGCAGGGGGAGTGGGAGAGGGAGAAGCAGGCTTCCCGCTGAGCAGGGAGCCCGATGTGGGGCTCGATCCCAGCACCCTGAGGTCATGACCTGAGCCGAAGGCAGCTGCCTAAAAACTGAGCCACCCAGGCGCCCCTATATCAGCCCCTCTTAAAGAATTTCTCTGCCACACGCATCTTTCAAGAAGAAAATAATCCTATCTTTTGTCTAAATGTTCCTTTTTTAAGATTTGTACTGACTCTCTGAATGCACAGAAAGCAGCAACTTAGTAGTGAGGAGCCTCCCACACTGGTTATCGCCAGGACCAGTGGCAGCAGGAACCGAGCCCCCAGATGAAGCCCAGAACAACCCAAGAACGAAATGGGACACCTTACGTGTGCGGTAAAAGGGCTACATTCGAGTTGCAACTGCAACTCGCAGGCAGACACGAGCAACGTCAGTGGCCACCATGTTCCTGTCAAACACAGACGGGGAGCGGGAGGACGGCCTGAGCGGTTCCTTCCACAAACTCCTACGAAGAGCCTACAAAGTACTGGGCCCGGTGCCCCTCCAAAGCTGGAGGAGACCAGGCCCGCGCAGTAAACATGACTGGTAGCAGGTGACGAGCCACGGGGGGTGAGCCTGGGGAGGGGCGTGCAGGAGGTCTAATGAGCTGGGCAACCTGGGCAGGTCTCCCCCGGGGGAATGGGAACTGGGGCCAAGGCCCGTGGGCAAGGGCATTAACCATGAGGACGTCAGGGCAGAAGGTGTCCCGATCCCAGGGAACAGCCAGAGAAAGGCCCCAGTGGGGGACAGAGTCGGGTGCCTCCCAGCGAGTGGCTGAGCAGGAAGCCTGGAGATCTGTGAGGAGTCGGACCTCGGCGTGGGGGGGGGAAGGGGGGGCTCTCTGAGGTCAGCAGACGCAGAGGAGCCCCCCTGTGCACACCACGGACACAGCCGGAGGGTGTGTTTTCTAGAGTTAGACCACAAAGCCTAGGGTGGAATCCCTATTTTTGTTGGGTTATTATAAATCCAGGAAATAATCTTCCAATTATAATCCTCAGAATCTTTTCAGAATTTCATTTCCTCCATGCTTTGTCTGGACACAGAGGGAAATCACTAAGGTCTTTATCAAGTTACTGAACAGAGTGAAGGAGGCCCCCCTTTCACATCAGGACAAGTCACGGAGAGAAGGGAGAATGGCCTGGGGAGGAAGCATGCCTGACAAGGCCACCACGACCCCTGGAGGCCGGACTCCCAAGAGACCGCCCAGGACACCATGGAGCTGTGCGCCAATCCATCACTGTCGCATACGGCCCTGCCACAAGAGTGAGGGGCCCCAGGTGGAAGCTAGGAGGTGCGCCCCAGGCCCCCTGGTATCCTGAACCACAGTCCCCCTGCAGGAGCTTCCACAGCCGGTAAGAGCCACTGCATGAAACCTGGTTTCAGAACTCCTCCAAACACAGCAATAAATCGGCGTCCTCACTGCACGAAGCTTAGGAATCTAGGCCTCCAAGTCTGTTTCTGAAGCTGCAGAGCTGAAGTCCTGAATCAGAATCCTCGGTGACCCCACCAGGGACTGTCATCCTGATGAGGCCTGGTGCAAAAACGAGCCTCTCCTCTGACCGCAGACAAGGCTGCAAGGTCAGTGCTGGGCAGGAAGACGCTGGAAGATACTCTGTCATTCCCCGGAAGAAACACTACTCGTCCGCAGTGCTCTCCCATGTCACTGCTGAATTCCGTTTTCCAATAGCCTGTTGTTACGTGTCACCATAAAGGGTGAAAAGGCGAGGCAGTGGCAGGACAAGGCCCCTGCGAGTGGCTGAGGTCTTCAAGGGGCAGGATTACCAACCTTAACCTTTACCTGCTTTCCCGGATTTCTCAAGAGACTCCGGTTGCCCAACCGCCATGTGAGCTCTGCTCCAGGGGATCCTCGGAGGTCAGGCTGGGACACTCCCGTTGGCACCACACCAAGCCCGGTCCACCAGAAGCCCTGGGAGGGAACACTGGCCTCCAAGCCAACACTACCCAACAGATGAAGGAGGAAGAACGGCCTCTCCTGTGCAATCCTACAAACTCCTCAGATTTCCACCCGAAAACTAACAAGGGGCTCTTTCCATCCAAATCTGCTTCATAACCCCTAACACGGGTTTTAACCACAACACTACCCAAACTCTACCAGGACACAGAACTCTGCACCCCCCAATTCCAGGAGAAAAGACAGAAAGTTTAGAAAGCTTCTGAAAAGCATATAAGGTAGAGAAAAGGAGAAAAGGGATCTGAAACAATGGGCAATAAGGAGCAGGTAGTACAGCAGAAGCGACTTGGCGTCTGCGAATATGGTTTCCAGTGGCGGACCAGCCCTGAGCGAGGGCGCCTCGCACACCCAGTGCCCCCCGATACCGTTCCTCACCTGTGGACGGACGGGGCTGCCGTGAGGGCAGAGCAAGCTGCCGACCACTGCTGTGCTCTGGAACGCTCTCATCACATCTGACCCCAGAGTCAGGTGTGTTCCCCCAAAGCAGCTCTCACCCAAAAACAAAGTGAAAACTGGATCGCCCCAGGTGCCCACGGCATTTGCTCACATCTCGTTAGAGCACCTGTCGCATACTCTTGCAATTTTTCAACATGTCAACTCCCCTACACTATGAGCTTCCTGAAAGCAGGCCTGTATCTTGAAATTCAAGCAAACACCCTGACACCAAGAAGGTAAGGAAAACGAGGTTGAGCAGGCAGATGGATGGATGGGTCTCTGGAAAACAGTTCAGACGGCAAAGAAGAGAATGGAATCAGCTGTTCCTTCAAGCCTGGATAACCAGGGTGATAGGTAATGGAAATAAAAGTTTAAAAAAAAAAAAAAGAAAGAAAGATAGAAAGAAAAGGGAAGTCTTGGGGGAGGACTGGAACGGAGAGGCAGGAGAACACCTTCAGATGGGCAGAATTTGAGATGGCGACGGAAGGTCAAGGGGAACATCCAGGCAGTTGAAAATGCAAAACTACAGCTAGAACGCCAAACATCCTCTTCACTTCCGTCAGCAGGACTGCCGGAAGCCGTGTGTGGAGCAGCGCAGAGCTTCAAGGACCTTAAGCTAATAGGTGCCCACACTCACGTGGTCGGGCAGCTGCCGGCTGTAACAGCCCCAGACAGAACAACCATGAGCCTGGTCCTGCTTGAGCTTCACAGCGTGCCGTGCATGAGTACTGTAATTCAATACTGGCTCGGAAGAGTTTTCAAAATGTTTATTAAAAAGAGTCTGTAGGGGTGCCTGGGTGGCTCCGTCGGTGGAGCATGTGACTCTTGATCTTGGGGTTCTGAGTCTGAGCCCCACGCTGGGCATAGCACTCACTTAAAAAAAACTGTAACAAGAGTCTATAAAGACGTACAGTATCCCCGAATTAAAGCAAGTCTCTCCATTCCACATTACCTTCTAGCTGCTGCCCTCTCTGCCCACCAACAGTCCATTCATCTGAAAGAGTAATATGTACGCCTGCCTGCAAGGCCTCCTTTTCAGACATGGCTCTGCCCAGCCCTTTAATGGGGGGCAAGACGCCATGCCCAGGACAGCACCCTTGGCCCTCTTCTTGGTCAGCATAAGATCTCCTCACTTCCCTGGGCTCCACTCCCACTCATGTGCTGCTAATAAGTTCTTGGGTTCTAGCGACAAATCCAACTGTCTAAATGGACCTCTCTCAAGGGATGGTCTCTAACCTCCCCCCCCCGCCCCGAGCTCCACTCACTGTGTCCAAAACTAAGCACCTGCATTTAACTGGAGACCCTCCCTAAGCAGTCACCTGAGACAGCAACCTGGCATCATCTGGAACCCTGCTGATCTCCCACAATGCTATGTCTCTCCCAAACCCTGGTAACCAATCCCATGCTTTTAGGTCCTTGACGTGTCTTGTAGTTACTGCCCCCTTTGGCCCACTCCTACTGCCTCCATCAGGCCCTCCTCCCCCAGCCCACCAGGATGGTTGCAACGGCTCCCTAAGGGTCTCCCCACTGCCCATGGGAACCACACCAGACAGTGGGATCTTTCTAAAATGCAAAATAACCATCATGAAATACCCCAGTGCAACCCCCTAGGCTCCTCGTGGCAGAGACCAGTCCTTGGTGACACACAGAAGCCCTCCATGACTCTGTCCTCCTCCCTAGAGCCTGTCTCTGGCCTCCTAGTCTCCAGGCACAGAGAACCACTCAGCTCCCCAGGGGGCCAGGTCCCCTTCCCTGCTGGCCCTGGCTCGCTCCCTCTGCTTGAAATGTACTGCTCCACCATATTCACCTAGTTAGCACCAACTCAGCTTCCAAACTCCAGTTCTAGCAACTGTCCTCTGTCCAATCCGGCTCCGCCCCAACGCCAGGCAGGACTATTCCCCCTGCTTACCTAGGGTTTTCACATACACACCTGCCACATCCACTCTGACCCTCTCCCTCACAGCCTGCCGCCACCCTGTCCTCTAGGCTCAAAGCATCCCTGACAACAGGGGCCGCATGGTGCAGAGTGGCGGCGGACGCCTGTTGACCCCACAGACACACCGCCTGCCGACACCAAGCCCACAGCAGCGCTACTGAAGATGAACGGGTTTTGAATAACATCACACCAATTCCATCATCCATACCCAATGGTAATAATTACAATGTG